CTGTAAAACAAAATGAAGAAGTTAACAAATAATAATAGTTCAATGGTGACCAGTAGTTTAAGATTCAAATGGGATCCATGATTGTGGAAGAAATAATGAACAAACCAAACAACATCACCAATTAAGAACAAACAACATTTGAATAATAATGGTTTCCATGTATTCAGCACTTGCTTCATGTTGGAGATTGTGTTTTAAGCCTTTTGTTTCGTTTTTGTTTTTTTTTGAGATGGAGTTTTGTTTTTGTTGCCCAGGCTGGAGTGCAGTGGCCTGACCTCGGCTCACGGCAACCACCGCCTCCCAGGGTCAAGCGATTCTCTTACCGAGTAGCTGGGATTACAGGCATGCGACACCACACTCAGCTAATTTTTTGTATTTTTAGTAGAGATGAGGTTTCTCCATGTTGGTCAGGCTGGTCTTGAACACCCAACCTTAGGTGTTCCACCCGCCTCAGCCTCCCAAAGTGCTGGGATTACAGGCATGAGCCATCACGCTCAGCTGTTTTAAGCCTTTTACATGATCATCTCTAATCTTTATACAGTCCTGCCAGGTAGTTTTTTCTCATTTTACAAATAATAAGATAATGACAACTTTAGTTTAAATATTTGTATTTGAACTCTAGTTTGAATATCTGATTGCTCCCCACTCAGAATGGTGCATATTTTCCCCAACAGCAGTTTTATAAAATATTGCTGATATAAACAACTACTCTGCCTGACCTCCTACATAGTGGTTTGTCAACTGTCCTGATGCCATAGACAGCCAGAGATTCACAAACATTATAACTTTCCATAAAAGACATGATTTTTCCAATATAAAATAAAAGTCACTAGGTAAGGAAAATAAGTGTTCCTCTCTACCACACAATGATAGCTTCCTTCTGTGGTGAAAACACATATAAAGTTCTATGCCTAGCTATTTTCCCTATCAAGAGAAAATGGTGAAATAATAAGAGAAGAGAAAGAAGGCAGATTAGAAAAAAGAAGGGAAAAAAAGTCCAAAATTAATTAGGGGAGATAAAGAAAAAGAATGGAAAAAAGATAAATGATTCAAGAAAGATGAAGTTGACATGGACTCTATTTTAGAAGTTTAATCATCACATTAATAAATGTTTGTGTGCAAATATGCTACAAATATATGTATGTGTGTACATACATATTTTCCCCTAACTACCTCTGTGCCCTATTCCTTAAAACAGAAACTAGTTGAGACTGTGCATTTGAGTTATTAAGAATTTTAAATTCTTAAGCAAAAATTAGATCAGAATAGTGGTCCATCCAATTGGGGATTTTATTTCTATTGGCAGAAAAACAGAACTGTGTGTGTGTGATAGTTGAATTCTCACAAGATCTGATGGTTTTACAAGGGGCATTCCCCTCTCTACGCTCTGTGTTTCTCCTTGCTGTCACCATGTGAAGAAGGACACGCTTGCTTCCCCTTCTGCCATAATTGTAAGTTTCCTGAGGCCTCCCCAGTCATGTGGAATTGTGAGTTTTTCTTTTATAAACGACCCAGTCTCAGGTATGCCTTTATTAGCAGTATTAGAATGAACTAATACATGTGCCTTCTTTAATTTCTCCCAGCAGTGTTTGGTATGGTCTTATGCTATTTGTTAAATTTGTTCTTAAGTATTTTATTCTTTTCTGGTGCTTCTGCAAATAATATTTTTTTCTTTTGGAATGGAGTCTTGCTCTGTCACCCAGGCTGGAGTGCAGTGGCACAATCTTGGCTCACTGCAACCTCCACCTCTCTGGTTCAAGCAATTCCCCTGCCTTAGCCTCCTGAGTAGCTAGGATTACAGATGTATGCCACCACGCATGACTAGCTAATTTTTTTGTATATTTAGTAGAGACAGGGTTTCACCATGTTAGCCAGACTGGTCTTGAACTCCTGACCTCAGGCAGTCTGCCCACCTCAGCCTCCCAAAGTGCTGGAATTACAGGCATGAGCCACCGCGCCCAGCCTGTAAATAAAATTTAAATATTTGTATTATCTTTTTTTTGGAGACAGGGTCTCACATTCTGTTGCCCAGGCTAGCATACAGGGGTGTGATTTTTGCTCATTGCAGCCTCAACCTTCTGGCTCAAGCAATGCTCTAGAGTAGCTGGGACTATAGGTGCATGCCACCACACCCCAATAATTTTTGTATTTTTTTGGTAGAGACAAGGTTTCGCTATGTTGTCTAGGCTGGTCTGGAACTCCTAGGCTCAAGAGAACTTCCCCTATTGGCCTTCCAAAGTGCTGGGATTATAGGCATGAGCCACTGTGCCCTGCCTAAAGATAATATCTTTATATGACAAACCAATGCAATGTTGGTAAGTCTTTACACGTTTTCACATATATTCAAGAATGAAGCCGGTCTCAGTGGCTCATGCCTGTAATCCCAGCACTTTGGGAGGCCAAGGCAGAGGGATCACTGGAGGTCAGGAGTTCAAGATCAGCCTTACCAATAAGGTGAAACCCTGTCTCTACTAAAAAATACAAAATTAGCTGGGTGTGATGGCAGGTGCCTGGAGTCCCAGCTACTTGGAAGGCTAAGACAGGAGAATTGCTTGAATCCAAGAAGCAGAGGTTACAGTAAGTGGAGATCGTGCCACTGCACTCCAGCCTGGGTGACAGCGAGAGACTCTGTCTCAAAAGAAAGAAAGAAAAAAAAAAAACCAAGAAAGGAACAGTAAATTACATATCTACTAAGTGCCAACTTACACACATTGCCTCATTTAGTTATTCATTATTTATTTATTTAGAGAAAGAGTCTAGCTCTGTCGCCCAGGCTGGAGGGCAGTGGCATGATCTTGGTTCACTGTAACTTCTGCCTGCTGGGTTCAAGCAGTTCTCTTGCCTTAGCCTCTCAAGTAGCTGGCATTACAGGCATTCACCACCAAGCCTGACTAATTTTTGTAGTATTAGTAGAGATGGGGTTTCACCATGTTGGCCAGGCTGGTCTTGAACTGCTGGCTTCAAGTGATTCCCCTGCCTCGGGCTCCCAAAGTGCTGGAATTATAGGCATGAGCCAATGCCCCCAGCTTGTTCATCAAATATTTATTAAGGACGTACTTGCAAATACTGTGTAAGGTACTAGAGAGAGTGATGAACAAGCATGTAGTTGGTTTCTTCCCAAACTGGAAGGTACACATTTAAAAATCATGTAAACCTGTACATATTCATCAGAAATATTTACTGAACTCTATTCCTTTCAAATACTGGGGCAGGGTTCAGGGACTGACTTATTTCTTGTTTGATAAGAGTCTTGCTCCGTCACCCAGGCTGGAGTGTAATGAGGCAATCTTAACTCACTGCAACCTCCGCCTCCTGGGTTCAATCAATTCTCTTGCCTCAGCTTCCCAAGTAGCTGGGACTACAGGTGTGTGCCACCATGCCCAGCTAATTTTTGTATTTTTCAGTAAAGATGGGTTTTCACTGTATGTTGGCCAGGCTGATCTTGAACTCCTGACCTTAAGTGATCCACCCTTACCTTCCTACCAAAGTGCTAGGATTACAGCCGTGAGCCACTGCGCATGGCCGAAAGAAATATTTATTGATTGCCTGCTAGACACCATCATTAGGAGCTGAGAATTCTGTGGTAAAGAATAAAAAGCAGAGAAGATTCTTGAAGAGGTTACAGTCTGCTAAGACAGACAAACAGTAAGCTAATTAAGTAAAATAGTATGTTAGAGAGTAGTATAAGAGAAAAAAAAAACAGGAAAAGGACAACAGAAAATATTATAATATTGTGTCAATATTTTTAGATAGGAATACTCAATAAAGGCTAGGAAAATGACTCTCATCACCCCACCCACATATCTATATACTCTAAACCAGCACCTTACATTTCAATACATAAGATTTCTTTTGTTTTTTAGTTATATAAATATAATACCAAAAACTTTATGTATGTCAATTCCTGTGCAGTAAATATTTCTAACAAATAGGTTTTTTAAAGAAAAAACTGAACTGCTTCTCAAATTCCATATAAATGCTTATGCATTTCTCATTCCCTTTGACTTAATATGGGATCACTGCATATATATAGGCTGCAGAAAGTTCACACTCAAGAACAGCTATATAGGCCAGGCACGGTGGCTCATGGCTGTAATCCCAGCACTTTAGGAGGCCAAGGCAGGTGGTTCATGAGGTCAGAAGATCAAGGCCATCCTGGCAAACACAGTGAAACCCCATCTCCACTAAAAATACAAAAAATTAGCCAGGCGTGGTGGCACGTGCCTGTAGTCCCAGCTACTTGGGAGCCCAAGGCAGGGGAATCACCTTGGAGGTGGAGGTTGATGTGAGCTGAGATCGTGCTACTGCACCCCAGCCTGGGCAACAGAGTGAGACGCCATCTCAAAAAACAAAAACAAAAAAGAACAGCTATGTGAAGCATGTAAAACGACAGCAATTCAAAAGGTGATTTCAAAAGCAAAGAAAGATATCCCACTGAACACTTCATTTTCTCTTCATGACAAAAACATTCACTTGAAAATATATCAAAGTACATTTATTGATATACATAGGCAACATCACAAAGCTGACTAATAGTAAATTTTCCAATATATAAGTCAAGAACAGTACTCTCCCATGTGTGTACCTATGCAACAATCTTGCATGTTCTTCACATGTACCCCAAAACCTAAAATGCAATTAAAAAAATAAAAAATTAATAAATAAAAAGAACAGTACTCTCTTCCTCCTCTAAAAATGGCAAATTGTGATTTACAAATTATGCAGCTAGGTAGTACTATAAAGGCCACAATCATTACCATGCTAAGAACATGTTTTCCTAAATATATTTCTTTATAGCACTTTTGACTAGATTAATAAATTATGACTGTTAATTGTCCAACCTCTCCCCACTAGAAGTTCTATGACAGTAAGGTTGGTTCATTTTGTTCACTGCAGTATGCTGTACACCCAGGGTACAGAATAGTGCCTGGTATATAACAAAAACTCCAGGAAATAAAGAATAATTAAGGTGTTGAGAATGATAAACGCCAGAGAAGATA